TGAATAATAGGCAAATCATACAAACCTATTTGTTCCAAAACTCGGAAAGAAGGGGCGAAGTATCGAATTTTGTTTTATCGGACTGTCATTTGGGGATGAATGTTAACACAATTTACCGGTAGCAAAAGCTTTCCTGTTTTTCCAATTGGCTTTCATTGGAGTTTGGTAATTCACATAAGTGGCATCTAAAATTTCCACTTGAGGCTTCGCCCATTTTTCGAATTTTTTAGTTTTATTATTTGCTGTAATTATGAATTCGTCGCAGTAGTACCGGCTGTGTAAAGGCGTCCCAAAATTATCCCTTGTAGCTAAATGCATCTTATTCAGTTGCTACTTGTTTAGAGTAATTCGGATTCCTTGAGTGGGGAGTTACAGGAGCAATTGGTGATCTTGGCATTCTTGATATCTATTCAAAATTTTGCTCTGAAGTTGTTTTATTTTCCACTATATCATTTTCAAAACCTCGGTGGCGGCTCACTAGGCTTGCCGCTCTGCCACAGTTTCTTAAAATGTGATCACGTGTTTTTGCGCTAAACTTAGGTCTTTAACAATATGAATGGCTTTTTAGCATATGTTTTCTGCTTGTAGAGTTGTTAGCGATTTCCCTCCTGTAAACTTTGAGAAGCAAGCTGTTAGAGAATACATTCTTTGTACCAGTACCGACTGACTATGAAATGAATGAACAAATAGCTGAGGAAGTGGCATCCTCACCAGCCAAATCAAATTTCATTGTTTAGCAATAAATGTGATGCTATCTATCATAGCCAGACAGAATCAAATTTTTTGCTGGTAAACCGATGTCAAAGCATCAGTGGACCGATTAGTCTTAAAACAAATTTCTGGATGCACTGGGTAGAGGCTAAGGAGGAACGGGGCGAAAAAAGCATGAGGTGGGTGGTGACACCGGATGACATCCTATGCAAAACTAGCAACATAGTGCGACAATCCTATGCAAAACTAGAAAATATCGATTACTACCCAAGTATGAAAGAATTCGCAGAATCGGTATCAGCTCCAGAATTAAGCTAATTGAATAATTAAAGCTTAGCAAATCAGGAAATTAAAGCTTAGCAAATCAAACTAGCCAAAATCACTCGAATTACCAATGCAAAACTCCCAGTGTTGCCAAAAAGCATATAGGTGGGCAGAGCTAATCGGTGCCGAGTCAGCAGAGATAAATAAATCACCTACTAATCTGTTTAAGTGATCTGACAACATCAATTCTGGAATCGGGGCATGCAATGCCACAATGCTCGTACACGCTGCACCGTGATTCGCCCAACGGGCCTATCCTGCGATACGCCCGAGTGGGCGACATTGTCTTTCATGTATGGGATTGCCCGTCTGATGTTTATGCAATGCTCATTCACACTTGCTACATTTTGGATGGACAGGGCGGCGAACATCAAGTTATTGACAACAAGGGGTTCGTTTTGCATTTCATTTTTGTCAGACCTTTAGCTGATCCCAGTAGTATCGCTGACACGGAATCCGCACATCGATTGTCTGTTTTGCTGTTTGTTTGATCATGCTTCTCGGCATTATTTTCCAATGACAAAAAATTTTGTTTGATAATCGCTTGAGACAAATAGAACAGAGATTTTGCATTTTCTTATTTGAAATCAATTTTAGGTGCTCAACTGATGATTTTATCATACCCCAACTGACATATTCCAATGATCTCACTCGTTGCTTTACGGTTAGCAAAATTTTTGATTATTTATTAACGTTCATAAAAGTAAATAGTGGCAATAATCATGCGATTTGTGCAGTTCTGTCCCATAGGCGTTTGTTACCAAGGATTTCGCCCCTCTCTCCTCATCTCCGTCACAACTCCCCTCTGCGTCTCGAATCAAACACCCAGAAATGAGCTCATGCGTTGCCAACTCCCTCCTCCCCTCTCCCCGTCCCCCATCCCGCCGCCCCCTTCTATGCCCTCTGCAGTGTACATCCCTCCCGAGCTCTTCCCATACAACGCGCATCCGCGGCAAAACCAGCAACACGGGTCCTGCTTCCTCTCTCCCCCTCCCTCCCCCATTACCCTCTCTCTCCCTGCGTAGCCATTTGACGTCCTCATCCAACCACCCCTTTTCCAGTACCTCTGACCCCGCAGCCACTACCCGCTCCATACTACACGATCTGCGGGCCAGTTCGTAAATCGTGCAGCCGCCGAGGCGAGCCAAGCCGAGCCGAGTTATAGTAGTTGCCCCTAACGAAAGCTGAGTTTAAATTTCCAGGGTCGCACATTGACATGAAACATTACTTGAAATTTCAACCTTCTCTCTTACCTAATTCCTGCATTAAAAATTCTTCCCCAGTAGTCCCACGTGTCTGCACTAAAAAGGTAAGCGTGCATGCAGACTGAAACTAAGTTTCCAGGATACTACATGGGCACAAAGCATTTCCCTAAAGTTCATCTTCTAATACGAAACACATTAGCT